AGCTAACAACTTGAAATTTGGAAACGAAATGAGACGCAGAATTTAATATCTAAGCACAATCATAATTTCTTATTAGTGATTGTTAAAACGTTTGTGATTTTCAGTAAAAAAAAACAAAAACAAAAATAACACTTCAAAAACGAATAAATAGTTTGTTCTCAAATCATTAACACTACTATTAATAATCTCTCCAATAACAGTGATAAAATGTTTCTTGGAACTGGCATAAAACTCTGCATTTTTTCGCTTTTGCATATGCATGAGGCAAAGTGAACATAAAAACGCTAAAAAAGTTGTGTTTTCAATTGAAAACGTGCATTTTCTAAAATTCTTGTCTGATTGAGTATGGCTGCTCGCATCTGACACATTGCTGAATTTTCACGGGCTTTAGTGAAAAGATTAGTAATAAGTGCTCAAGTACATTGATGTGGAAATCCAAGCAAACAAAGTTTTGTAAAAATACATGTAAATGTTTGAAAAAGGCTTTTTTCGAAGGCTTGCATGTGCATGCAAAAAAAGCGGTCATGTACACACGAGAAAATTTGATTTTTTTGGATGTGAATACGGTTGAAGTTTCCCAACCAGTACCAATAGACACCTAAATAATCGAAATATGGTTTTTTTACGCTCGCTTCTTTTCATATGCATGTAAGTTATTGGAAATTCTAAATATCATGTGTTTTTTATTCACGTTTTTATCAACGTGAATGGCATACTAAACGATCAACGTTTGAATGCTCATAAATCAGATTTTTCTAGTACTTTTGAAAAATTTGTTCGCTTTAATTGATTCAGGAATTTTGACGTGCTAACGATGAAATAGGAAGGATTAATATCGTTTTGCAAATTCAATTTTGAATTTTGAATTTTTTTTTTGTTTTACGTTTTCAAAAAGAAGTAATATATGAAAAACGTATATGCCAACACTCAAGTATTATTTTTTAGTGTTTTAAAGCATAAGCAGAAAAATGCATTGTTATTGTTAATGATGTAAAATCATAGGTTAGGTCATTTTAACGCGTATATTTTTTCTTATATACTTCTTTCGAACTATTCGATCATGTGAAATGCTTACATTCGTGATAGTCCCACGTTTTGTACTTGAATATGTGTTCAAAGTCAATATTTTGTGCGTATTTTAACAACATTTATCGTGTTATGATAAGAATACATATTAATATCTTTTCTAAATTGCAAATAGGCTGATTTTATCTACAGTAAGAATGAAAATTAGATTTAATACAAAGTGATTTATTTGTGAAAAAAAAGGAATTACAGCAAGTGTACGTTCACTTATCCATCCATTAATAAATAACATGATTGAAGTGAAGAAATACTTCGTTCCATGTTTCATCGTCGTCTATCGAGTTTCTAATAATAATGACAAAATGTGTGAGATGTGCCATTCATCCTATTATATTATATTCAATATTTTCTCCAATCTGTGTTTCCATTCAGACTTACGCTCATGGAATTCTTCTCATCTGTATAAAATAGTCTATAAAAACGAGGAGAAAAAGAGAAGAGACTTCAATGGCAACATTCTTGTGTCCGATTTTAAATCTCTCTTCTTTCTTCCTCATATCTGTATGTTTTTCTCTTTCACGCGTCTTCTTAAACTGATTAACGAAATTCTTTCTCGTCTTGCAAAATATCGCCATAATCTTTTCGCTTCATTTTTCTATTTACATGATATTCGATTTCGCTTGGTAAACTTCCACTTTGTCTACTTTTTACCTTACGAAATATTTTGTGAAGGCATCTGTTTTTTTCTATGATAAAGAGATAGACGGATAGGGTACATAAATAATTATATAACCCGTGTAACCATTAAACGCATTTTAGATGCAGCTAGATGCGTTTTTTGTTGCAAATTTCAGCATTTTGACGCGTTTTCGTATTGAAGCATGACGGAAACGCATTTAGATACATCGATCACTGTGTTTCTTGAACGTGTTTAGAGAAGCTTCATAGTTTCAGAACAGCCTTTAGACTAAACGCATATAAATGCATTTTTAATTTTTCTTCTAAAACGCTCTGGGATGAATGCATGTCATTTTATGCCTCCGATTATGTTTAATGATTAAAAGAAGCTATCTTTCTTCCAGTGAACACTATCTAATTGATAGAGTCAAAAAATGCGTTTCACAAGATGCTCCTGTCAATGCATCGAATTTGCCGAAACGCTTTTGGATGCATTGCTTTTTGAAACCCAGTTGAATATACAGTTATATAGTTACGCAGTTTAGTTAGTGCGGATAAATACTTAAAAAAGGAAGTTGCGTCTGTACAAAAATATGTCAATGGGTCCAGCATGCTGTATCTTTGTTGGAATGTTATTATGATTGGAGAAAACACGGCATGTGATGCTATTAAGTGTAGAATTCACTTAGATAAACATATGAGTTTTCTATTAACTCAGTTGAAAAAGAATAAGAAGCCGAAGCATATGTCTATGAATGGCTCTTTGTGATACACATGTCAATAAGTATAATTTTGACAAATACATCTTTAAGTTGTCAATCGGTGATGATTATCTTGTATTCGTTATTTCTTTGTGTAGTAATTCAGAATCTCACAAACTGACCTATGTTTATTATAAGGACCTGAGTAGTAGATTCTATACGAAAAGCTATCTATTTTTATAGTGTCTATAGACATTGTAACTTGATGCGTTTGAACGCGTTCAAAAAACTAAACATGTCAATACTCATCCTTGCTAAAAAACAGATTAACAGGCGCTTTCTGGCTTTTCTACGTTACGATACTGTTATGAGATAGATGAGTTTACTTTATTCTCAAAAAAGTCAAAATATAACCATCATTATGCGTCGAAATCGGACCGGATTTTAACATTCAGACTGCATCTCTATTATTAAAATTTAACCAATTTGAGTTTTATTTAATAGATTCATTATATTAAATGGGTAATCCTATCATAATTCATTGTTATTTACAGGGGGTGCAAAAGTCACTTAACTCAAAAAAAAAATGAATATCTCCTTTATAGCTCAAGCAAATGAGCTGATTTTTTTATCGATGATAGAGTCATGTTCAAGCTTTATATTGATAAAGACATGCCCAGAGAAACTCTTTGTTAAGTANTGAATTTGAAATGCCTGCTACTATTGTTGCTTGAGGATTGATCGGTGTTATATTAATAACAAGGTGATTCAATGAATCTGAGCAATAGATCGAATTTCTTCGATCAATAAAAATATCAGTACAACCGCAAAATTGATTTGGTGGTGTGCCGCAAACAGTTTCTCCGAAGACAGTCGTGCCGAATAATGAACTATTCGAATCATATCTTTGAATTCGATAGTATGTTGTAGGTGAATAGGAAATTGAATCAGTCTGAAAAAATCAAAGTTCACTTATAGAATTTATCCTTTGAACATGAATAACTGAGCTTTCCCCAATGCTATTTGACTACTTCGAGAAAAAACTATAATGAAAGAAAAATTCGAATTTAGAAAAACTGAATCGCACATTTTATTGGGCTATTTGAGATAATTATAGAAACGAAAACTCCCTACTACCATCATTAAAATTGCTGAAAGACAGAGATCATTCAGAATACATTAATTGTCATCGAGCTTCTACGTAAGAAACATGGTATGGCAGAAACCTAGAGATGTCATACGACTTTGAATGAATCATGAGTCTACCGACACTCATGTTCATGATGCTCTTAATTAATGACTATGCTATTATTGGAATTAAAATCTTCAGTTACTTTTGATTAAAAACCGTGAGCTTGAAGAGTTACAAGAGGATTCTTATGCAAACCAATTCGAGATTATGAATAGAAAGGCAAACTGCATGAGCGTAGTTCAGTTAGTGAAAAGAAATTGAGATTCAGATCGACTGATGTAAGGTAAGTTGGATTTGTTGCTAGTTCTGCTAGTGTCATTCACGAAAGGATCACGTGTGAATCATTCTACCTAATCCTCAGTTTTCTCTTCCAGCATAAACTTGCAACTGCTGATTTTTTTCACTAATAGTTAGGTACAACGAGTGCGTACAAGAAGCACAGTTTAGCCTTCAACATTGAACAATCAAGAAATTTATGGGAAAAGCAAATGAAAACTTTCGCATGACATCTCCTGTGAAAATTGAATTTTTGCGATTTATTTTATACCTTTCTTCTGATGATCGATATTTGATGTTTTCTTATTTCTGACCATTTTGTAGGGCTATCTCTTGGCTTTCGTTCAAGAGAAAAATCCCAATATTTTCAGACCATTCACTCATGCTTAGTATTGCTTTTAATCATATGCAATAAGCGATGAGAAAATTATTTTATATGTGATGTTTTTTTAGGAAAAACTTCCACAACAGTGGATGATGCTGAAAGTCAACAATATATTGTAAAAAGGCAGGTTGTCTGCTATCAGTTGGCTCATTAATGAATACGAATGATCAAGAACAAGTTGCATTAAACGAAAATACTGGTTAATGAAAATTGATGCCAAAAACCGAGCACATGGACTTTGTGGACCCTATATCTCCAGATTTCTTTCATAAAAAATGCTTTTTTTTGGATTGGTAATGGGAACAAGTTTGGCTAGCAGAATGGTAAAAATGTTTTCATATTGGCTCATTTGCAGTAATGAAATTCGCTTCTGACGCATTGCATTTAAATGGTATCATAGAATTGAAAATCGCACGAATACATACTCGATATTCACATGCGTAAACTGTGCCGTTCGTGTCAACAGTCATTCGTTGAAACGTGTAAGGACTAAAACTACCACTACCCATAAAGAAGGCTACATTCAAACTTCTCGGTGCATATTTAATAATGTGGTTTGCCGAGCCATTGGCAATATAGATACTACCATTGGCGTCTACGAAATAATCTATTATCGTGTTGTACGGATATGAACTTGATGCACTGAACAGTGTCATATAATTTGGATTCCATGTAGCGTTTGGGCATAAACGAATCTGTGTTGTGGTACCTTTTGAAAGCGATCAAATGAGGTCAACAAAAATTATAAACTGAAAAATAAATATGTTTCATTACCTGTATCAGCTGGAGTTGATTGATCACAAAGACTAGCCAATGCTAGTGGCACACAAATAGGTGCTGGACAACAACTATCAACAACACATGTCGTTAAATTCGATGCACAGCGTGTGCCACTGATGCATGTATCGAAGAAACGACATGCTCCTTGTGGTACACATATAGTCCCATTTGTCGATGTACGTAATCTGTAACACGTTGCGGTTGAAGGACAACCGGTACCAGAATTTCCTGGCCATGAATAAGCACTGTTACATAGTGGGGCCGAACATGTGGTCTTTGATTGTATCATTTGACCTAATTAAGTCGAAAATATTCAATGGAAGTAAGTACGTCACTAACTGACGCCGACTACCTTGAACTTGAACTTGAATCGATGAACAAATAACATATACGAAAAAGAAGTTGTGTATCATGTTTGTCCGAAATGATTCATATCTTTACATGTTTGTCAATAAATATACGAGGCAAAACAATGGCCGATGATGATGCCTGATTTGACGCTGTCTAGAGTGTAGCACAGTCGTTAAACATGATGAAAGCCTGACTATTCTAGATGCACGGTTCCATTCAACATTTTTGAAAAACTTTCCTTTAGTATATGGAGACAGATATTGGCAAATCAAGCGAACGGTATAAGTATGTATGCCTGAAATGAAATCCAGAATTGACTTTGAAACAAACATAGACTGAGGCAATTGTATCGTCAATGCATTAATCCGATCAAAATGCAAGTAATCGATATAAGCATTATGACTGGAGTTTGCCTTGAGATTCGTTTCATTCATGAATGATTTTGTTTTCGCTGCGTAGTCAGTTTATGCATAAAGAAGCAGTCGTTTTCGTCGAAAATCATGGATGTGTCATCCTCTGATAAAAAATCCCAGTGTAGAGATAAAGAGTACGTCAAAGCTGACTAACGAAAAACTAGCAAAAGCAACTGAAAATACTTCGCATTCATCAATTTAGCGCTTATAGCTGAATTTATTCAATCCTAGTATAAGCTTTCTCTCCGTTTTCAAAATCCTATTTCCGTCTTCCAACAATGGATCTGAGTGAAAAGTTCACGAAATGTATGCCCGAATCTCCATGGTTCACATTTATATCTCTACGCACCACATCTAGCTATTCACGAGTTCCCTTCACATCTAAAGGCAAACAACAGAACCGGAACAAAATTACGTTTGTTTTATTGTCTTTTTTCAGTATCTTAATGAAATAGAACCGGAGGAGGTTGATATTTTTACTGTTAATCAAAGTCCAATGGCCCTATAAATGATAGGGTACCAGTGTGCATCTTCTTTTTCTTTCACACCTATACCAACCCACACTCACACCCTACGTTCATGTATGTTATCTATTGAGAGGCGAACACTTCAGGCAATAGCAAATCATTTTCAATCGGCATAGACACAAAAAAATTCTTCTTTGAGCTCCAACCTGTAGAATTGATCGGTGATGCTTTTCCTATAATCATGAGCTCTGTTTTCTGACATAAATACAATATGGACTCGAGATTTCTTCTTCATACAACAAACAAACTATTTTTTCATCAAACTTACTGGCGCCATAAGATGCTTGATTTTACATCCGACTACACAAACATAGAGAAAGTCATGATCGGATAATGCATGCAAGAAGAACTCGACTTAATGCTCGGTTAGTTGCTTATCGAACAGAAAATGAATACGAGTATAAAAATGGAACCATCCGAGTACAGATGGATAGCAATATGACTCGAACTGATGGCCTCGTTATTTCGTGCATATTCATCGTCTTGCTTGTGATTTCGACGATCGATGGCCGTTTATGCATGTGTGATTGTTGTAATCCTTCATTTGGCCAAGAGCCTGGATGCATCATAGATATTGGCGATGGTGATACGATTATAAACTGTCGCACAAACTGCAAAAAACAATGTCCACAAAAATGTCGCCCGGATCAACAAATAGGCATAATGATTCTAGACTCGATTAATGGCATGAAAAATGTCTCGTCTGCTTGTTGAATTCTGAATTGAACCGCCAACCAACGAAAAAAAAACACTTGAATCTTTAATATATAAAATGATAAAGATATTATTTATTTAAGAAAATAAATGATGTCATTTTCATAATTAAGCGGTGTATCGACATATGTGCTGTACGAATAGTAGAGCAGGGTAATAATCTTGAATATTTGTGAAATATGTGAAAGAACTTCGAACTTTTTCTTCATTTTTAATCTCTTCGGAGATGTCTTACGAATAGTCACTAATATAATAAATTTATAAACAGAATATTAGTTTTATTAATATATCGATGGTGTGCCCTCATTTTTCTCAAAAGAATTTTGCTTGAGGTTGTGCATGGGGGTCGGTGCGTGGGCTTCGGTGTGTGGATGTGGGTGTCTCAGAATGTGAGTGTATTTTCTTAACCCTCCCCACACCACACCACCCACACCCAAACCCCAAGAGCTGCAGCTAGTAATAGTTGTAGGAAAAACATCGAGCTTTCGAAATTGTCCTTGAACAGCGCCCTATACTGAAAGGTAGCCGAAAGGCAAAGGTATTCTTCTTCTTCTTATTATTATTATTATTTATTCTGACGAATCAGGTAGATTGAGCACATGTCGCAAAAGTCTGACTGTCAAGTTATCCTGGTGCATTGAAAATTCTCTCAGGAATCTGACTAGAGAAGGAATAGATGATGAGTGTCTTTCATAGGGGTGATGGAAAATAAACGATACTGAGAGACGCCAGAGATTTACTGTATGTTGAAATAGACGTGCCATTGGAGTCAATCATACTTCTAAACCAACTACAAAAAATATTTGCTGGTATTCAACATCTCGTGAGGTTCCTGTAGGAATGCAAATATTCAAAGGTTCGCGATTATCATATGGTAATAGACACCAACGAATGAGTTTAGGCAATTTGCAAATACTATTCCTAGAGAAGAGATCATTTCTCACATCCTTTGAAAAGAAACAGTGTTTGAAGGTTCAGTGAGTATAGTTAGATAGATGATGTAATTTCAATGTAATGTTATTCATCGCTTGCTGGCGGTGAAGAGCATGCTATGCCAGCGATCGAAAATGAATCAATTGATGAAGAGTAAAACTATGAGTAAAGAATTAATATATTTTGGATTATCATCATTGCTCGAAAGACAAAGTAAAGCTATTTTATTGATCACGGATGGAAGATATCTTCGACAGATAGTATCAAAAGAACGTTTTGATATTACTCGAGAGTCAGAAGCATCAATGCGACAATAATCTGGAACAAGTGAAGCAAAATGAAAACTGCGATCACTATCTGTATAAACAACGTTGCTGATACTGCGACATTGAGATACGGTGTTGATCTTGACATTCTTTTGTCTCTGTCCATCAGAATGGCGATCATGCAGAAGGATTTGAGAAAAATGTCATTGATATTTACTTCAATCTCTCCTTATCTCTTGTTAATGGTATATATTCAGCATTTTCCCTTTATTTTTCTTCTTCCCTTACAACTAGTGAGTAGACTTATTGTTTTCCTTATACTCCTACTAGTTAATTCGATTATTTGTCCACTAATATGAACAGGTCAGAAAAGCAACCGTGGAGTTAGGTGGGCTTACTCACATGGCTTAGCAACTGCATTTTCAGCAAAATAATAGAAATAACAACTTTAGTATTCACGATAGTATATAAAGGCGTGGATGATAACTAGAATATAGAAATAAATTTGTTTGAAAAAACGATTTGCACAAATAGAGTTCTTTAAAGCATCTTCATGTTTTACGAAATATTTATATCATTCATTTTTAGAATGGTTGTTTGTTGTCAATTGGATAAAAAGACATAATGATAATATGATTGTTTCTGGAGTGAATGTGGATGTAACTCTAATTAAGAGTAACACTGAGAAGAACATTCACATCCACATGCCCAATTACAACTACATCCTCATTGTAGAATGTTATCTTTTAAGAGGTTTTGCCTTTTCTTCATGATATTGTCTTCTGCTTAGGAGTCTTGGTTCTTTTGCGTAGGTTTATGCTTTATCTTGAACGATCACTTTTCACCGAAAATCATTTTTCGCTTGAATTAGTCGTTCTCTTTTATTAACAATCGAAAAATTGTTCAAATCTCTGGTCGTTTAGACAAAGAGCATCCCAAGCAGAAAAATTGACAAAGCATGCATTTTAGGAGTAATGGTGTGAGTTTTTTTACATATCAGAACGATATTCACTTTGGAGAAAAAACCGAACATGAGGATGATAAACACTCTTAAGCTTGCTTCTTTGAAGAAAAAAAAAGGAGTATTCTGCTTAAAGCGAGTGTGGATCTGAATGTGTATATGCATTTCCGTCAGCTTTCCACTCACGCTCACACTCTTAAGCGAGTTGGTTCAGTGCTACGTAACAAAGATCAAATATTACTCCAAAGAAATAAATGTCAATAGCTATCACATATTAGGTTTTTGACGAAGATGTTCATCTTGCAAAAAGTTTTATTAAAAGAAGTATGATGGCAGCTGTACCAACACTAGCGACAAGAAGCTTATATTCATTATCATTATCATTTCCAAAGTTATTGAGCTCATTGAGCACACGGTCGTTAGCTTTCATGATATACAAATTATTGTTTGTACAAGCTATACCTTCAATTTCAGTGCTTCATCTGTCAATATTTAGTTTAAGAGCTAGGAAGTATTCGAATTTGCTTTGGACTTCTGGCCAATGGATATTGTTGTGAAATAGAATTTCGTATCCAATTATCATAAGATTTCTTTCTCGGTATTCCCTGACCTAAACAAATATTGAGCTGTCAATGTCGCCAAATAAAATGCTAGTTACTTACTCATTGACAGACGAATGAATGATGGGGTATCGCTTGCGCGAAATAGTATGGCAAATTAGCTTGAGTCAAGCGTAGTTTGTTACAGTAACCATGAGGAACATGGAGAACATTACTCGATAATGACATAGACAATGTTAACTATTATTTGAGGAGATATTTTTACATTCTGAACAGCGTGAACCAAGTCTTGAGAGGAAAAGTTTCCATTGAAACAATGTGCTATCATTTGACTTTGCATCCTGATTAAGCACATGACTTCATCTCTTTACGACTCTATTTGCAAAACTAATATTAATTTCTCATACAGCAATGACGATTCTATTACGCAGCGAGATGTTTCATCATTATGTGTCTTTGGAAAAACTGTTTCATCCAACAACATGTAATACATAATTAACTGCACAGGTCAAAATTTCATATTTCGTTTTAGTCAGTTTTCTCTTGAGATTTGCTGGTAAGATGTATCGCCTGACTTTTTTATGCTCTCTTTCTCTCGACAAACAATAGAAATGAAGATTTTCGTTTATCTTAACTCAACACCAACAACATAAGCAGCTAATTTGATACATGTAAGGTGCACGCAAAGCAAAATTCGAGCAATTTTTTTCACCGTTTCAAACACTATTTGATAAAGAATTTCAACGTGAGCAAGAATATGCGTTCCCTAAAGTTTGTCGAAACTTTTTTCCATTCGAAACATCAAAAAAATTCACAGATTGTAAAAACCCCGATTTTTCGCCTAGTTTTTGCAAAATTGAGTTTTCCAAGTTTCGTGCTAACTTAAATTATTATTACTTCCATATTCTTATTCAGCTTTAAAAATTGAATTAGAGAATCATCTGGAAGCTGTTTCAAATCAAAACACCCATCCATAAAGGTCATCGAAACTGGAGCGACCAAACTCCTTCCACTCATTTTGTAAACTTTTCAGAAGTTTTTCTGAGATCCTAGAACCAATATTTTCACATGGTTCGACTCGTTAGATGTTCATCTTCAAAAGTATACGTGCAGCTTTTTAAAGTCATCTCCATTGCTAAGAAAATCAATTATTTCGAAATTGGTGGCAAAAAGTTTAAAAATTGCACTCGGCTTTCGAGATTTTGATTATTGAACACTGGTTTTTGAACAAAACAAACTTGATATTTGGAAACAGCAGAAATAACTACATCAAATGACATATATTCTAACAAAGACTATTTTTCTTCAAAATTCGACCGTCGGGAGACCACAGGCTAGAAATGAGTACAAAAGAGTTGACGGAGAGTACGGCCGAACTTTAAAGAAAAATAGTCTTTGTTAGAATATATGTCATTTGATGTAATTATTTCTGCTGTTTCCAAATAGCAAGTTTGTTTTGTTCAAAAACCAGTGTTCAATAATCAAAATCTCGAAAGCCGAGTGCAATTTTTAAACTTTTTGCCACCAATTTCGAAATAATTGATTTTCTCAGCAATGGAGATGACTTTAAAAAGCTGCACGTATACTTTTGAAGATGAACATCTAACGAGTCGAACCATGTGAAAATATTGGTTCTAAGATCTCAGAAAAACTTCTGAAAAGTTTACAAAAATGAGTGGAAGGAGTTTGGTCGCTCCAGTTTCGACGACCTTGATGGGTAGGTGTTTTGATTTGAAACAGCTTTCAGATGATTCTCTAATTCAGTTTTTAAAGCTGAACAAGAATTTGGAAGTTATAATAATGTAAGTTAACATGAAACTTGGAAAACTCAACTTTACAAAAACTAGGCGAAAAATCAGAGTTTTTACAATTTGTGAATTTTTTTGATTTTTTGAATGGAAAAAAGTTTCGAGGGTGCTAGTGTGAGAGTGCGAGTGTGTGAATGCGGGTATGGGAGTGCATGTGTGGGTGTGGTTGTGTTGATGTGACAATATGGGTTGATAATTATATGGAAGTCTCCACACTCTCAAATTATTTAATAATGACAAAATGGTCATGTGTTGGTCTCATATGCGTCGAAATGTTGAGAAAAAAATTAAAGAGCTTCAAAATTGGTGCAATCAAGAAAATCGAAGTATTAGATGATGTCGACAAATTTCAATTATGTGAATCAGAAATTGTGTTTTGGAATGCATCATCCTTATTTTTGAAGAAATCGAACGGAACGGAAAAAGAATTTACAGAATATTTCGAAAACGAATGGTTAACAATTCTTGACTCATGGTATGAAGAATATAACAGTACATTTACACCAAGTAGTAACAATCAATTATAAGCAACAAATAAAATCATCAAAGATGAGTATACTTTTAGAGAACGACATACACTATCAAGATATCTTGCAGTTGTAAATGATATTGTGAAGATATTGTCCATGTTCCACACTCAAGATCAAACAGATCCAGTTGTGTTTTCTACAGAATCAACATTTACACTTAACTAATGGACTGATGCAAATCAATTTGAAAAATCCTCAAAACTAGTATTACAATTACCATCTAAAATAAAAGGTTTCACCGATTACTATATACCAGCTGGTGAGGTAGAAAATGTTACAAAACGATATCCGAAGATACAAAAGAAAAAACTGGACGCCATTTGATCAATTTAAAGATCTTCAATTTGAAATATGGAAAGTAACTTTGCCAGACGTTCGATCGGAGTGGAAAAATAGATTTTGCAATTGTTCAAACCTTTTTCAAGAATATATTTGCAAACATGTGATTGGTATGGCAATTAGATTGAAATTTTTCAAATCGCCTCCAACAGCAAAGGATGTGCCTTTGAATGAAAAAAGAAAACAAGGGCGATCTCGAAAAGCAACACAAGCCTTGCTAATCGAATAACTGTTCAATTAATTTTTTAACTTATACAGTATTGTATTGTTACTTAACAAAGATTATATGTTTACCTGTAAATTCCTAATATTTTGTCTAGAAAATTAAAATTTTTCATTGAGAATTTAATTAAAATACTTAGCAAAAAAATATATTTTTCTGCTTAGATTTATGTCCAATAAATTACTTAGAAAAGATGGCATTTTTTATTTATCTTTTATTTAAAATTACTTAGCACTTAAATAGGTGCCTTTATAATCTAAAAGCTGAGCCAAGTCAGATTTATGGATCTGTCCAACCTCTACTTAGTTGGTCCGATCTCCATCAGACCGCTTTTGTGTAGTCCTCTCTCGATCATTGATCGAAATTGGCATGTTCTTGACTAATAAATAATCGAGAAATCGATTAGCAAAAAAAAGCGAATATCGAAATCTGTGGTTTTTGTATGTTCAGTCGAATTGTTTATATGGCATTGTGTGTGCAAAATACAAAGGTAAATGAATAGTCGGCAGACAGAACGCGATAAATTCATATATGCCACATTTTCGCTGTAGAGCCTGCGACACATAAAAGTAACACATTTTATTTCATTGTGAAGATAGTATGTCCTATTTGAGATTCTTTTCACAAGACCCTTTTTTGTTGTATCGTCTAAAAACCAATCATTGAAAAATCTTGTTAGGAGTTAGACAATATGAAATGTGTTTATTAAATGAAAATTATTCATGGAAATTTATGAAAAACTACAATAAGACTCCATTATTTGAAACGAATGTATAAAAACGTGTCAGACTCTCTGTTCTTCTAACAAGCATTCGTAAGAATGTTATATAGTCCAAGACCCGATCCCGAACCCAATCTGAGAATCATATTACCAAAATTATCGAATGCTATCCGTTGACCCGTATAATAATAATAATAATAATAAGAGCTCCAAGCTGAAGAATTGAAAATTGTGGTCAAGTAAGTCGTTCCTGGGGACCATCTTTGCAGAGTAGATCCAATAACATATACACTTCCAGCACTGTCCACTGTTAAACCCCCAATTCCGCTAGAATACATATAGAATGAGGTCGGGCTGAACAAATGTACACCATAACGGTTACCCGCCAAGAACATCAATATTCGACTAAAATCAAAATTTACTATCAAGAAAATAATAAGAAAGCCGTCTATTATGCTCTCTTTCAATTTCGACTAAAATCCAAAAACAAAACTAGCACTGAAAACAATTTTCTACTTTTTAATACGACTAAATTAAATATTCACTATTCAAAATAAGGTCTATAAATAATTTCTTACTTGTTGCCTGAATCCACAACAAACAAAGTACCATTGTTATCAACGAAGATCCCTTGAGGACTGTTAAGTTGATTCAATTGTGATCCTGATGAATTTGTAATACCCGCTACTATTGTTGCTTGAGGATTCATTGGTGTTATATTAATAACAAGGTGATTCAATGAATCTGAGCAATAGATCGAATTTCTTCGATCAATAAAAATATCAGTACAACCGCAAAATTGATTTGGTGGTGTGCCGCAAACAGTTTCTCCGAAGACAGTCGTACCGAATAATGAACTATTCGAATCATATCTTTGAATTCGATAGTATGTTGTAGGTGAATAGTACATTGAATTACCCTGAAAAAAGTCAGAGTTCATTCATGGGGTTTCTTTGATGACCATGAATAAATGAACTTTTATACAATGGTATTTTACTCTTCGGCGAAAAAAATAATAATGAAAAAAAAATTTAGAATTTAGAAAAACTGAACCGCACATTTTATTGCGCCGTTTGAGATAATTATAGAAACAAAAATTCTTTACTACCATCATTAAAATTGCTCAAAGACAGAGATCATTCAGAATACATTAATTGTCATCGAGCTTCTATGTAAGAAACATGTGTATGCCACAAACCTAGAGGTGTCATACAACTTTCAATGAATCATGTGTCTACAGACACTCATGTTCATGATGCTCTTAATTAATGGCTATGCTATTATTGGAACTAAAACCTTCAGTTACTTTTGATTAAAAACCGTGAGCTTGAAGAGTTAAAAGAGGATTCTTATGCAAACCAATTCGAGATTATCAATAGAAAGGTAAACTGCATGAGCGTAGTTCAGTTAGTGAAAAGAAATTGAGATTCAGATCGATTGATGTAAGGTAAGTTTGATTTGTTGCTAGTTCTGCTACTGTCATTGACAAAACAATCTCGTGCGAATCCCTTTGCCTAACCCTTAGTTTTCTCTTCCAGCATAAACTTGCAATTGCTGATTTTTTTCACTAATACCTAGCTACAACGAGTACATAAAATAAGCACAGTGTTGCCTTGAACATTCAAGAATCAAGAAATTTATGGACAAAAGCAACTGAAAACTTTCGCATAACATCTTGTGTGAAAATTAAATTTTTGCGATTTATTTTATACTTTTCTTCTGATGATCGATATTTGAAGTTTTCTTATTTTTGACCATTTTTTAGTGCTGTCTCTTGGCTTTCGTTCAAGAGAAAAATCCCAATATTTTCAGACCATTCGCTCATGCTGAAAGTCAACGATATATTCTAAAAAGGCAGGTTGTCTGCTATTAGTTGGCTCATTAATGAATACGTATGGTCAAGAACAAGTTGCATTAAACGAAAATACTGGTTAATGAGAATTGATGTCAATAGCTGAGCACATGAACTTTGCGGACCCTATATCTCCAGATTCCTTTGATAAAAAATGCTTTTTGTGTCTTGGTAATGGGAACAAGTTAGGCTAGCAGAATGGTAAAAATGTTTCGAGATTGATTCAATTGAAGTAATGAAATTCGCTTCTGACGCATCGCATTTAAATGGTATCATAGAATTGAAAATCGCACGAATACATACTCGATATTCACACGTGTAAACTGTGCCATTCGTGTCAACAGTCATTCGTTGAAATGTGTAAGGACTAAAACTACCACTACCCATAAAGAAGGCTATATTCAAACTTCCCGGTGTATATTTAATAATGTGATTTGCCGAGCTATTGGCAATATAGATACTACCATTGGCATCCACGAAATAATCTACTATCATGTTGTACAACGGATAGGAGCTCGATGAATTGAAGAGTGTCGTATAATTTTGATCCCATGTAGCATTTGGGCATAAAAGAATTTGTGTGGCGGCACCTTTTGAAAGCGATCAAATGAGGTCAACAAAAAATTATAAATTGAAAAATAAATTTGTTTCATTACCTGTACCAGTTGGAGTTGATTGATCACAAAGACTAGCCAATGCTAATGGCACACAAATAGGTGCTGAACAACAACTATCAACAACACATGTCGTTAAATTCGATGCACAGCGTGTGCCACTGATGCATTTATCGAAGAAACGGCATGCTCCTTGTGGTACACATATGGTTCCATTTGTCGATGTACGTAATTTGTAACAAGGTGAGATTGCAGGACAACTGTAACCAGCACTGCCTGGCCATGAATAAATATTGTTACATAATGGGGCCGCACATGTGGCCTGATACTGTACCATTTGACCTAATTAAGTGAAAAATATTCAATGGAAATAAGTACGTCACTAACTGACACCGATTACCTTGAACTTGAACTTGAACCGATGAACAAATAACATATACGAAAAAGAAGTTGAGTATCATGTTTGTTCGAAATGATTCATATCTTTACATGTTTGTCAATAAATATACGAGGCAAAACAATGGTCGATGATGATGCCTGATTTGACGCTGTCTAGAGTGTAGCACAGTCGTTAAACATGATGAAAGCCTGACTATTCTAGATGCACGATTCCATTCAACATTTTTGAAAAACTTTCCTCCAGTATATGGAGACATATATTGGTAAATCAAGCGAACCATATAAGTATGTATTCTTGAAATGAAATCCAGAATTGACTTTGAAACAAACATAGACTGAGGCAATTGTATCGTCAATGCATTAATCCGATCAAAATGCAAGTAATCGATATCATCAGTATGACTGGAGTTTGCCTTGAGATTCGTTTCATTCATGAATGACTTTGTTTTAGCTGCGTAGTCAGTTTATGCATAAAGAANGATCTGATATTTGAACAGACATCTAATAAAATTTAAAAAAATAAGCGTCTTTTTTAAAATTTATTGACTAACTTCATCTTTAGTTCCATCACTCAAAACAATAGCTTTTCTTCCATCAATTCCAACAATCATTCCAGTTGCACCTTCAAATCTTACATTTAAAACTTTAACATGATTTCCAATTGAAAAATATTTTCTTATTTCATTTGCTTTGAGTAGAATTTCATCTTTGAATGCTTCATGTTTTGGTAAAACTCTTATTGAATCTCCATTAATATCAATAATTATACCTTGTAGATTTATTAGTTCACCTTCACATACTTCAATAGAATCACCCGATGAAAATGACAATAAATCATTTTTTGATGTTTTTGTTTTAATTATTGACACTAAATTATTGAAATTTTATTTAAAAACAAAATAATTTAAAAATTAAACTTATCGTTGTTTTTAGATCCATTAATTGTTTCTTCAAATTTGTTTAATTCACTTATACGTGGAATTATGCCATCTGTGGAATGTAAGGAAAGTTAGTACCCGATTCAGTTTTTTTCCCGAGCGATTCGCCTGACGAAGTGTGCCAAATCACGAGTGTTGTGCGCCTGATAGAGCTCGATGAGCTCTATCCAATGGTGTGTTTACATTCAAGACATTACGAAAAACAAAAAAAATAAAAACAAAAAAATTATTTTTTTCCATGGGGCAGAAATATAAAACTCAGTATTTCTTGAAATTATTAGATTGAGAAGACGTACCACGTCAAAAACTTCCATGAATCAATACAACTCGATGAGTTCTATCCGATGCTTATCATAGCATACTCATCAGCGGAACCATATGAACCCTGGATTTTCAAAAAGCAGGCTTCAGCGAAATAATTCACGTTACGATTCGCCGCAAAACTCGTGCCATTTCCGAAAACCTTTCTGTAGAATTCAGCATCATCCGTTTTATCGTTTGACATACATTTATACTACATTTCCAACACAAAAAGAGCTTAAACCTCTCCAGAACCCTTCGTATGTACAACGACAAACTATCATCGATTATCACCTCCAGAAAACATATTTTCCTCATAGAAATGTACAAAAATCATACGAACTGATAAATTCAACAAATCAACACACTCTAAAATAAAAACAAGCCGTCGACACCAAACTCTAAACTCCAGAACACGCTTATTCTCACACGGAATCCTGATATTTGGCATCGTGACGTATTTGACAATGTGTNTCACAGGCTAGCGGGCCACGGCGACCTTACGGCCGCTCACCGCCGTAAAGTCGCCGTATACGGCAGTATACGGCGCCGTAAACGGCCGTATAGTGCCGTGTCTGGTTGCTGTAATGCTCGTTCTGGGCACGCTTATTCTCACACGGAATCCTGATATTTGGCATCGTGACGTATTTGACAATGTGTGACAAGCTCGACATTAATCTCAATCGATAGATAACAGTTCAAAGCATGAATTTATGTGTAACACAACTTCAACCAACGCATGTAAGAATCACTGGAATCTCGAAACACCATGTGGTAAGACTCGGGCTTCAGTATTCCACTCTTCGATTCATTTCAGAATATGTGCCGAGCATGAAATCGACGTCAATCGATAGATAGCACTCCGATGTATTAGTTGATTTGCAAGAAGCATTTAGTTGATAGTTACCATGGTCACTATTTTCTCGGAAAGCGCTGCGCTAAGACCGTAATTTCGGTATTGTGTTGTGCGATCGAATATAGGTGTGGTATCATTATCTTCTTTCGAAAGCCTCACCCATCCACAACGACACTCACACACACACTCTGCTTCCTAATATCCAAGCCAAACGTGTTATAATGAGGAGCTCGCAAGATATTTTCGTACGTAGTTGGATATGCCATATTATAAGTATTCATTTATGAATGAACATATATGAGTTGGATCCAATGTTTCGTCATATAGAATATAACAATGTGACTATTTCTTGCACTGCTCATTTTTTCATCATTTTAGCTGTAAAAATTGGAAAATAATTAAAACTAATGAAGTTATTCTATCAAATATTCAACACAGACGGAAGAAATCTATGAAACAAACCATGATAAAAAGAAACTTAATATCCACAAATATACATGTGCATACACTCCTGGTCATAAGTAGCGATGCCAGGTAAAAGTAACCCAAAACCTAAGCTTGAAGGCTAAAAATTTTACTATAAATAGAGTTCAATAACCCCTGATCCTAGACACCAACCAGCATCGAATATGTTCAAAAATAACGGAGTTGTGTGTGGGTATCTGTCTATTCTGCATACCCGCACACTCACCCCCACATCCACGCCGACACCCACACAAACACCACACCCACACCCTCAGTCGAAAACTAGGAAGTTTCAATCAAGGTAGTTAGGTACCGGTGGCTTTAGCACATTCATAAATGAAAGGTATCCGTATTCGTGTTCAGTTCAATTATTTCTTTGAAGAGTTTGAAGAAATTCATCCTTTATGATACAGAAAGATTTACACGCAAGAATCCCAGTCAATCAAAAGCTTAATATTCAAATCCACCGAACAACTAACTGCGGTTAGACGTCAGCTTTCGAGTGGTGCAAGTGGCATGGCTTTCTTTCACATATTTTCACCTCTGATCTAAAAAACAGCTGCCATACATATTACAGAGTTCTTCTTAGTAATAAACACATGCTCCACGAAATGTTTTAACTAAAGTGACGACAACCACTGATAAATTTGAGACATGAAACTCCAAGTTCATTACAAAAGAACCTAAGAAAGTATAGAAGACTACAGCAAGCAAGTAACACTGATCAAATAAAAGTACATATTTCCAGCTTTCTTAATAGCTTCCACACTACCCATAGCATACTACTCAGTAGACCGTTATCGAATGTTGTTAGCTTTCTTCGAATATACGCTTTAATTCAAACAAATTCAGTCGGCCTTAAAAATCCTAAGTCACCTGATAAAACTCGTAGCGAAGTCGAAACACTTTGTGGTTGTTTCTATGCCGCCCTCAAACTCTTGGCTATACCCCTACCCATTGCTCAACATTTTCCTCGTTCTTAGATTCATTAATTTCACACTTTAACCAGTATCCTTTTATGTCCATGTAAAACTAACGTTAAAACCTCATCAATACTAACATTCTGTCTGAATCAGTACATTTGCAATTTCGTAGCGAAATTATAATAGTTCGATCAACTGCTCTCAAAGCGTAGGCACCACTTCCTTTCTTCTGCACGATTTGACAGCTGAATATATTTAATTTATTCCGATCAACTACGCTCGAACCAATCGCTGTACACCCTCTTTTGTCGCAACGTATGACTTGAAGGGGGAAGAAAAAATATCACAGACCTCATAATTTTCAGCGGACCGTACGAATACATTTTATATATAAATGCATTACTTCGATAATCGCATATCGTTGATTTATTTATACAACTTTCTCTTTGTATTGAAACGTATTTCCATTGTCTGTCTTTTTATAGCGTTCGATTCGTAGTTGGGAATGAATTTAATACGATTGATGACAATGAAAACAATGCATTATGCCTTATATTTCGCCATCTCCTTGTTCTTCTTGCGCGTTTCATGCGACGAATCTAATAATGGAAGCTACACTCCTTCTTTTGAGCAACAAGTGGTCGAGGGACACCTTGATGACGGATATTGGATTGAAGCGTTCCAACCTGATGATCAGACGCCTATTGGGTTCGTAGCCTTTGGGCTATCTCTTGGAGAGATCAACTTTTACCCGAACCCATACACAAATACAGAAAAAATAAAACCGATTCATGTTCAAAAACTGATTACTCCTAATGGCATGGCGCAAGCTGATATTTCAGGTGACGGATATAAAGACATCATTATCTGCTTTGACTATGGAAATACAATAATCGACTTCAATCCTGACGGAGGACACATCGTGTGGTTAGAAAACCCCGGAAAGGAGATTGGTACAGAACAGTGGAAACAGCATTATGTTGGAAGATCACCGACAATGCACAGACTTAAAATTGGTCATTTTACACAAACCCAACATTGGGAGATTATAGGCCTGCCTATCGTAAATGGACCATTTGATGTATCAGTACCGGTGTTGCTATTTCGACAGCCTGATAATGTGTTAACTGCCAAAGCATGGGATTATGAAATTATTGATAAAGATTATTTTCATTTAATTCATGACGCTGAAATGTTTAAAGTTCATTTGTTGGATCAACTCCTTATTGCATCACGAGAAGGTCTTACTTGGCTTTACTATAAGGAGGACTCAACGGAGTGGATTATTGAGAAAATTGCCGATGGTGAACAGAAAGACAAACAGCAGACAAACTATTATGGCAGTGGCGGTGTTGATATTGGAAAAGTTGAAGATGATAGTTTTGCTTATATTGCTGCGCTCGAACCCTTTCATGGAAATGTGGTTTCGGTTTATACCAAAACTACTAACAATTCACTGACACAAATACAATGGCAAAGACACGTACTCGATGTATATGGGTATCCTAACCAAAATGGCGAAGGCACAGGCCATTATGTGGTTTGTGCTGATTTTGACAAAGATGGAACCGATGAATTTTTAGTTGCACTGCGTGGCCCAACTCCGAATGAGGGTGTCTTTTACTATAAGCCTGTTGATCTCTCCCGTGGTTTATTCACTAAATGGAAAGTTAGTGATAAGTCTGCTGCAAGAATTGCTGTTGCAGACTTTGATAACGATGGTTTTGCTGATTTCGCAACAATAGGCTATCATGTTCCTGGCTATTATTTGGCAGAAAATCCTTCAATAAACGTATTTTACAATCGATTTATCAACAGAATAACACAAGCTAAAAATGAGCTACAACTGATGAGACAAAACGATGAACTTTTGTTCACAATTCCAAGACCGAATAAAATATTACAATATCAAGCTCTTCCGTTTTTAACCATCGGAGGTATCACTTTATCGTTGGAAGTTTTACCGCCTTATAGTTCACGCTATGTGGGAGAAAATACTTATATCAAGGTTCTTGCAGGAATCATACACTGGAAAGATTCTTCTACTAAATCGGATCAATCAGTAAATCAGTCGCGTACATTTCTTTGCGAACCAAGAAGTGTTTGTTCTCTTGAAATACATAGTGATGATAAGAGAATAAAAACTGAAAATGAAGGTGCAGTTTTTATGGTATTACAAATGGCTAAAGGCATGCATAATATTCCTATATTCAGAAATATTAAAAAGATTATCATTGAAAATTCTCTACCTGAAGCCTCTCCAGAAGATGCTCGTAAACTTGGCTTCAAGTTTGTCAAAGTTGAAGAACTTGAATGGGGGAAAGAGAAGTTTAGAGGTTTAGAATTTTATAATATGAGAGGTTTCGACGTAAACTTCGCTGATAACGATGAACGCCTGTGTTATTTTCAGCTATGGGCTGCTGGAAAAGGTACTAATGCTGGAGTACACAATCATAGGACAGATCGGTTTTGCGAAGTGCATGCTTGTATCGTGAATGGAAATGGAAACAGTGGTATGCATTATCTTAGAAGTTCTAAGCAGCCTTATGATCCGTTGTCTACATCTGATGATGAATTCGAGAAACAAGTCATACCATCGTTTCATGAGCAAGGTCCTCTCTGGGATATCAATGCAAAGAAGGAACCAGTTCTACGAAGCGATGGTACTGTTGTTTATCCATGGCATAAATGGCAGTCTGGTGGTGATGAGTTATCTGAGCCCCTGTGCAGCGAAATACCATCTGGAAAAAACATTAGTGTCGATGATTCCAGTGCTCGATCGACAAATGCATCAGTCCTAAAGACGATGCTGAAACGGCACCGTTGCGCTTCCGAGTCCAAGCAATCATTTGATGTTTGGTTAGTTTTTGCATTTGATGTGAAAATGTCAAAACTTCCTCAATAAATGAAATTTACATTCAAGTGAAAAATAATGATAAAATATTTTACTGCTTGGAAAAAATAAGTTGTGAAACGACAGAGGCGAGCTTACTTGCAAAATCGGCCCTTTTTGAGAACTAGTTATAAGCTCATTCTGACTAAATTTATATGACTAGAAAGATAAATATTGTAGTTTCACTTTGTCAATGCATGATAGTTACGTCTAGAATCTAATATTTCCTTTTGTATTGAGTATACATATCGTAAGGAATTGAGAGCACATAGTTATGAGACGTCATATATAGCATATTTTGCAGATGAAATGTTACACTGCAACATGAAACTAACAAACCACTATTCGACTTCTATCAATACAAGAAAGGATGTGTAACGAAACTGTACGAAGATAGATACGAGAAAGCTGCAGCTTGCGACACTTTCGATACATATATTTATTAAAAATTGACATAAATGATATCGAGTGATTGATTTGTGCAATCTTTCTTCTACTAGTGAAATAGAGCTGGTCTCCAGAGATTGCACTGGTCTGAATTTTTTAAGACAGGGTATGGATATCTGTGGCTATGTTGGTGAGGAGTGCTGATATAGATATGTTAGAATAGGGAACTCACAGCGACAACTACACCGAGACTTCGAAACTCAGCCTTCAACAATCAATGAAAGTCTTTTGCACTCTTTAGAAATCACTGTTAATCAGAGATAATGGTGCGTAATCGGAAAACCAGCATTTTTGGACTGGATCAAAAACAAGATTTCTTATTTACCTAAAATTATAAACACCAGAAGTATTTGGAGAAACCATATGCATGCATTGTGGGTGTGGGTGGGTGTCAGTGTGAATGAAGAGAAGATCCACACCCACATCCTCAGCATAACCATCTGAAGACTCTCGGGAATTCCGAAGATGATTATAGCAGTGTTGTCATCGAATTCTCTTTGGTTTCTAATTTTCTTGATGTTTCCGCAGTTGTATTTTAGCGAAGCTTGTAAAGCATTCGTAAAGAATTTGAATGTTTGAGAACAATGCGCATTAATATTGGTTATATTCGTTAACAAAATAATGAACAAAAATGGACTTATTCTTTTCAAGGCAAACATCTAGGGAGTTGAGCCATGTGAAAATATAGGCTCTAACAGCTAAAGAAAAACTTACAAGATAACACAAATGAGTGGAAGCACTACCGTCACTCTGACTTCGATGGCTTTGATAGATAGATTCTTGAGTATGTAGCTAACTCCGTATAATTATTTCATTCGATTTTTAACGCTGAACAAGTATATGGTATTTTAAATAATTCCCGTGTAATATGAAACTTGGAAAACTCAAGTTTACAAAAATAGGCTAAAAGTCGAATTATTTTTGCAACTGATCAGTGTTTTTGATTTAGAAAATAGAAAAGTGTGTCAAAAAGCTTTAGAGAAAACATATTCTTGCTTGCTTGCTTCCAAATTTTCTATCAAATGACGTATGAAACTCCGAAACAATATAATGAATCCTTGCTTTTCGTGCAGTTTACTTTCGTTCATTGGAATAATTCCTATACAGATAAACAACTGTGAAACAAAAGTGCATAATTCTGTCAAAGTGAAATCATATGAAACTAGACAATGTTCTTGGTTTTCTTGGTAGCTTTCTGCGAATAGAATATTGCTGAGAATATGTTTATAGGCGTAAACACATTATTTGTGGAAGACGATGTGTATGAAGCTGTGAGTATACGAACATGAGTTTAACGATATAGGTTTCTTGCTCTTCCACATTCACATTTGCACTTAAACTAATACTCACAGTTACACAATCACACTTATTGCGCCTAAGTGGTTACGCCTGGAACGCCACTCTCACAGCATAATTTTATTATGATCATTTTCATTTTTTTTATTTATCGCATGTGTGAAACTTTATCATGCCATTGGGGAAAAATATTAATTCTCAGCAAATAATTCAGCATGTTTTCAAAATATTAAATGCTTTGAAAGTCGTCCGTCAATCAACTGAGCCACCTGATACTCTTAAAGATTCCCCTGAGACCCACGCAGAGTCATCTGATGCCAAGAAAACAGCAACACGTGCAATATCATCCGGCAGGGCAAGACGACCGAGTGGTGTTTTGGAGATGATTTGTGCTTCAAAAGTACTACCAATAAGTCCAGCTGCACGAGTCCCTTCTGTGATAGTCGTGCCGGGTCTGATAGAATTAACTCGTATTTTGCGCGAACCCAATTCTCTTGCAAGAGCTACTGTTACTGCATCCACAGCTGCTTTGGTTGCACTGTAAACAGAGAGCTGTGGAGCTGGTGATGCACTTACAACCGAGGCAATATTGATAATTGTGCCGTTAGTATCAGTACCAAAATATTTTAAAGCTTCTCTACAGCAAAGGATAAGACCAAGCACATTGAGGTTGAAGTGTTTATGATAATGCTCAATTGTAACATTTTCGATCGATCGAAATTCGTAGACGCCCGCGTTATTGACCAAAATATCAAGTTTACCATAAGTTCTTTTGGCCGTAATGAAAAGACGTTGAATGTCTTCCTCTTTGGTTACATCGGCTTGCACTGCAATTGCTTTACCTCCTTTGCTAGCAATGTCACTGACAACTCGATCAGCGTCTTCTTTACTCGAACGATAATTCACGACGACAAATGCCCCTGCAAGTGCAAGATGCTTGGCAATACCGGCACCAATACCTTTGGATGAGCCTGTCACAATCGCTACTCTTCCATCAAGCTTCCCCGTTTGTTGATCTTCTAAAATACGACGATTTATTAATATTCTGTTTCCTTTAGCTTTAACAATGATGAAGTATTTTTGCGAAACACGACTGGCAATGAGTGTTAAAGAATAGTTTTAAATGAGAGATACAATTCTTCCGGTCATAGGTACGATGAGTCAAGACTTTTGGCAGCTGATACCCATACTAGTCTAAAAGCACTAGACCTAACTGAACTAGTTTATATGCTCATACATGAGTCTACAAGGATTAGATCAATTCTTTATATGAAAACGAGTTCCATAGCAACGATGTGGGCGTAGAATTGGTGGTAAACATGCAGCAAAACCCAAGCTGAAGTTCGGAATTTAAATCGAACGGTTAGAACTTCGGGTTCGCGCTCTCACATCAAAAGTTCAAGCTATCAGCAATTTACTATAGTGCACAAGTTTTTCGTCCGAGTGGTCTTTTTGGCGAACCATTCACATGCTAAGAAAAGAAAACAAGTGAAGATGTTATTGATTTCAGTAGCTCAAGATAATTCACAAGCACCAAGTGTTGAAGATGGAAATCTTTACAAGAGCTTCTCGCGTATGAATTGTTTCAGGTATATTCTGTGAGTCGAATTCGTTCTGAAATCATGTCTGATAGAAAATTTTTGGTTCAGACATTGTTTCATCTAATGAAATCTATTTTTACTCAGTAATCGACAATATACCACGCAAAGTTTCAAAATTTTCCAAACTACTATTGGATGAGAAGTTTGTGAATGTTGCAATCTAACTTAAGATATTGACTCTTATTTCAGAAATTCTGACTTTTTCCTACTAAGATAGATTCATGCACATGGCATTGGCAAAGTCTAAGAACTAGTGTAAAAAATTTGCATGCATGAGTTAAGCAAATATACAAAGGATTCAAGAAAATTTGAACCGAATTTCAGATTCTTGTTGACTGACTGTTCTAAATCAAAATAAATGAGATATGAGACGATAAAATAAAGATTTCGTTTGAATGATGCATTTTTAGTGAGTGAATCAATTCCATGTAAAAAAAAGTAGAAAAAAAAACACTTAAGTACTATTAATATTAATAAAGTGAAACAAAGTAACTTTTCCTACTATTTTTCACTTTTCAAAGCACTTTTCAATACTTCTTTCACTTAAGAAAGTACTTTATAGTACTTTTTAAATAAAATAGAGTATTTAAAGTACTTTTCCGTGCTTTTGAAAGTACTTAAAAGTATTATGTCCACTAGACAATCACGGCAGTGTTTTGCGCATTATCGGTGTATATAAGAGATACTGTTTTCAATCAAAAAGCATCAAATGAGTAACATTTCAACTTTCATGTAAAAAACTTGTAGAGAACATTCAGTGTTCATTTTTATCTATATATCTGATTTCTGATCCTAATATGTTCAGAAAAGGAGATATAGAACGGCAAAGCCTTATTTCACCTCCCAGCGCTGAGGAAAGTTGACAATAGTATACTGTTTCTTATAGCATAGGTGAGTGACCGGAATCTTAAAAAAAATGTAGCATAAGTACTTCTTAGTGCTTTAAAAAGTACTTTTAAGTACTATCTTATTTAAAAAAAGTGAACCAAAATCACTTTTAAGTACTTTTAATATTAATAAAGCAAAATAAAGTAACTTTTCTTACTAGTTTTCACTTTTTACAGTACTTTCTCATACTATTTTTCACTTTGCAAAGTACTTAATAGTATTTTTTAGTCAAAAAGTATACAGTACTTAAAAAGGTTTACTTATAAGTACTTTTTTCTTCATAAAAACGACTTTTGAAAGTACTTAAAAGTAACTTTTTGACTACTTTTTTTTTGTACATGAGTATGTCAACTAGATAATCACCGCTGTGTTTCACGCCGTATGGGTTTATATAATAGATACTATTGCCAACCAAAAATAATCTAACCAGTAACTTTTCAATTTCCATATAAAAGACTTGTAAAGAATGTCCAGTGTGTTTTGATATTTACATCCGACTTCTAAGTTGAGTTTATTGAGAAAAAACAGAGATATAGAAAGACAAAGCCTTATTTCAGCTTCTAACGTTCGAGAAAGTTAAAAACAGCATATTGATTAGTTTAAAGTAGTAGGTTACTTTATCAATCAAAATACTTATACGACGGTGCTTTCAGGTGATAAAGTAACTCAACTATCGTCAATTAAAAATATAATTTGCTACGTTGGTTTTTGAATACGTTTCAATTGTTCAAACCTATCGAGATCAGGTTTTTGCCATCTGATAGAGCATATTGGTGGACATCTATCTACGTAAGATCCATTAGCACGAAAGAAATTTGTCGTGGTTGTGTTTCAAACGGATATCACATTTGTCGTCATTTTTCATTAGTTTTTTCAGCGATCTACGGGGTGTCTGGAAAGTAAGTCCCGGTTTTAAATTCTTACTCTCAAACAACACCAGATATTGTAACGGTTTTTGTGGAACTCACATATATTCTCGAAGAAAATAGCGAGTGTAAGTTTTAAGTCGAAGTTTTCCGGCTCCCTCACCCCATTCCATTACAAACACCTAGCAACGGAAGCTCCCATTACAGACTATAGCAATTCCGCCAAACAAAGAAAAAATTTCTGTTCGAAGTATAGCTATAAAAAAGAGAAGATTTGCTGGCAAACGATTATCATTACAAAAGAACTATCGTCTTTTAGAGAATTTAAACATTGGATATTATGTGATTAGTATATTGAAACTAAACATGATATGTATGTTCCACATTTCAGCCCCAAAAGGGCTGCGCTAACAAGCTTTTTTCACTGTTTTGCTGCATATGCCATCACATTTTGTTGTGAATGGAACAAGAAGATTGATCGCTTGACGGCCCAAGATGAAGCACGGATTTCGTCAAAATAATATCTGGAGATAATTACAACTACAGAAGTGTATGAAAAACGGAGGTTTCTATGTAGAAGTTTGAGACACTATATGTAATATGATTATGTACACTTCAAAAGAGCAGAATAGTTGTTATAAAATCAGTAGGTATAACCATAATAAACTTCTCAAAAGAATGAATTATCTCCAGATATTCTTCAGGCGAAATTCATTCTTGATCAGAGACTCACGCAATCAATCATCTTGTTTCATCCATAACAAAATGTCATGACACATGCTTCAACACAGTGAAAAAACCGTTACAATATCTGTTGTTATTTTCAGAGTAATAAAACGTTTAAAATAGAGAGTTACTTTCCTGATACTTTGTAGGCACAAACTACATCAAAGATTAGCCCGAGAAGTCCTATAGTCATAATAAAGATTTTGCATGTTTATATGGTTTATCTGAAGGATAAGCCCAAGAAACTGAAAGAAACATCTAACAATATTATGATTAATGCAGCACTTCTCAGACTACTCTAGTATCGTTCGATTTTAGGCTGCTGTAAAAACTAATGAAAAACGAAAACTCAAAAGACATTAGTTTGAAACACAACCCCAAAAGGTTCTGAGACCCTAATTAATTTTATCTAGATAGACGTCCCTCAACATGCTCTATAAAATGGCAAAAACCTGACCTCGATTACCTTGAAAGATCGAGAGTTATTCAAAACACAGTAGAGTACATTACATTTATAGATGGACAATACTTTGTAGGAATCGATATAGTGCTTCTGAAAAAAGACGCTTCGAGACGATAAATACGCCCATGAGTGACTAAGAGACTATTATTTTTTCGTTCATACTAGTAGAATTGGATGTTACCTGCAGCCACCCACTTTCAATGGAGTTTTGTTGATGATCTATTCCGCCTGGTGTAAGTGTGAAAGTCGTTTATGTTGGCAACCGTTACTATTCAATATTCTATAATACTATAAGAAGGGAAATATATGACTCTTTTGTAGTTATTCACTGTCATTTACAATCAGTCACCATTATCTAATTTTCATTTCACTGCTTCTTATCATCATCTAACGTTCTGTTATAAATGCGGAACTCAGTAGTGCAATGTTATCNCACCCACACCCACACCCAAACCCACACCCACACCCACACCCACACCCAAACCCACACCCCCACCCACACCCACACCCATACCCACACCCACACCCACACCCACACCCACACCCAAACCCACACCCACACCCACACCCACACCCACACCCACACCCACACCCACACACCCACACCCACACTCACACCCTAAGACATCATATGATCTATTTGTGATCTTAGGATCATCCCAATGATTATAAAACTGAAAAGCATTTGATGAGACCCTTTAGCAAGGTCGAAACGCGTCATGGTTGTTAACTACACACCCACATCCAAATTAAAATAATTTGTTTAAGGAGAGGTCAATCAGTTTTTCGATTTAAATTAATGAAAAGAATGAAATAATGCAAAAACTGCAGTATTAACAAGTCTGTAAATAAAGGGATAAGCTGCTTGTGGCTTCATCTGCGAGAACGAAATCCAACTTTGCGTCATTGTTGAAGTCTCCACTGAATATGACAAAAGGAACTGAATCCTGACCCAATGGAATCCGCGTCGCAATAGAAAAGTTACCATTACCGTATCCTCCGAATATAACTATGGATTTCGTATCCTGATTAACGACGATAATATCCAATAGGCTATCGTTGTTATAATCCCCAATTGTAATGCAGCATGGTTTAGAATCAGCACTCATTATGAGTGTCTTTTCGGTTAAAAAAGAACCATTGCCATATCCCAACAAAATGCTTATACTGTTTGAGTCATAGTTAGCAATTACAAGATCAATCCGACCATCGGTATTCAAATCATCGGCGGTAATACCCATAGGTTTAAAGTCAATTGAATTCAGCACTGCATCACTGAATGTAAAATTTTCAGAGCCAAGGAAAATACCAATGCTATTAGAACCAGAATTCACAGTGCCAATATCCACGTAAGAATCATTATTAAAATCCTTGATAACGAGAGCTTGCGGTCGCGAACCATTGCCAGTGGAGAGTATCATTTTACTTACCAAAACTGTACTGAGAGATGTAAGAATGACAGTCACACCTTCACTCTGACCTACATCCGTACCCATACCCACAACCATGTCTAATTGGCGGTCGTTATTGAAATCAGCGGCTGCTACACACTGCGGAGCGGACCCAACCTTGAACTCCATCTTGTTGCGAAAAAAACCATTACCATATCCCAGAAGGACGATCACCGTATTCATCAGAGAGTGTGGCACAACGATATCCAGGTGACCATCGTTATTGAAATCACCAACAGCTACAGAGCGCCCCTGACTGCCTACCGAATACGTTGTCTTAACCGAAAAAGAGCCGTTTCCGTATCCGAGAAGGATCCCCACGCTATCTGTATCCCACCCACTCACAACTGTGTCCAATCGGCTGTCGTTGTCGAAATCACCAACAGCAACGGATTGCGGGTAAGAGCCTACCGGGTACCTTATTTGTTTTGAAAAAGATCCGTTACCATATCCAAGAAGGATACTCACACTACCATTGATATAGTTCGCGACAACGATGTCCAGTTGGTTGTCGTTGTTGAAGTCACCAACAGCTACTGACTCTGGAGCAGAACCAACCGAGTATTGTGTTTGATTTGAAAAAGAGCCGTTACCATATCCAAGAAGAACACTTACATCACTAGTACCCCGGTTCGCAACAACGATGTCCAGTTGGTTGTCGTTGTTGAAATCACCAACAGCTACAGAATCTGAACTAGAATCAACCGAGTATTTTGTTTGATTTGAAAAAGAGCCGTTGCCATATCCAAGAAGGACATTCACATAATTTAGATTCGAGCTCGTAACAACGACATCCAGTTGTTTGTCGTTGTTGAAATCACCAACGGCTGCAGAATATGGAGAAAAGTCAATTTTACGGCTTGCAAAAGTTTCAAAACCTTCAAAAGAACCAAGCAGAATATCTACACTACGAGTGTCGTTGTTGAGAAGAATAATATCAATCTGGCGATCTTTGTTGAAGTCTCCTAGAGTATGTGATATGGTTGAAGTAGCACCTGTAGAGTACATCAGTGGATTTTTTTCAAAGGTACCGTCTCCATAACCCAGAAACACGCCCATATTTTTACTGCCATTATTAGTAATAACCAAATCAATTCGATTGTCTTGATTAAAATCAGCAACATCAATCGTATATGGAGCATTGTTGTCAGTAGAGTAGGGAACTTTGTTTGTAAAAGTACCATTTCCTTTATTTATAAAGATGCCTATTTGCTTCATCCCATAAAGAGCAACAGCAATGTCGAGTAGAGTGTCATTATTGAAATAACCAACGACGATTGACTGTGGGCATGAATGTATTCCAGTTGAAATAATCTTTTGATTTGAAAAAGTGCCGTTTTTACTTCCATACCAAATAAGAACATTGTGAGTGCCGCAGTTAGCAACGGTGAGATCTATATTATTGTCATTGTTTAAATCTGCGATGACTAGTGACGATGGAAAAGAATCGTAACCTGTGGAATAGTTTGTAGGATTCAAAAATTTTCCATATCCATCTCCGTACATCACAGTAACACTGTGAGTTCCGTAATTGACGATCACAATATCAAGTAGCGTATCATTATTCAAGTCAGCGAAATAAATTGATTTGGGATGAGACGAGCCAGTTGAAGTTGTAATTTGTTTATCAAATGTTCCATTTCCCCATCCGAAAAATATACCGATGTTATTAACACCGAAATTTGCCACTGCAATGTCCGATACATTATCATTGTTGAAGTCAACAACAACAACCATATTAGGAGTAGAGCCGTCGCCAGTTGTATACTCGATTAAATACGAAAACGTACCGTCACTGTGCCCAATAAAGATGCTTATTGTGTTAACGATACTATCAACAATAACAAAATCTAACCATGTGTCGTTATTGAAATAGCCGATGGCAACAGATCGTGGACCACGATTGTAGTCGATCGGATTTTTACGTGTTGCTGCAAACTTAAATTGGCATTCTTTAACTAAAAAGAATGAAAACAAAATGAATCTGGATTCATTGCTAAAGAATATTACCCTCATTGAATGAGATGGAGCGTTTCCTAAGTCTTTTAGTAATTCATGAAAAGTGAACGTATTTTTCCATTCGTGAAAAACTTAAAAGCATCATCTATCAATAGGTTCTCAAGTCGATTCGAAAAACTTACATAAATTTACAAATCTATAATTGCCTAAACTTCCTTCCAGTTTAGAAGCCCTAAGGGGCTTCTATTAAGTCTTAAAAGGTTTCAATAGTTTTTGATGGTACAAGTTTTTAAAGGACTTGAGAGATTTTTAGTGTTTTTAAGAGTTGTTAAAACAACTTTGCAGGAGATTTCTAAATTTTTATTCTGATCAGTTAGGAAATTAAACATACTCTCACCTTAAGATCGCGAATTTAGAAAGTTCTTCGATGAAAATAGCAACGAAAATTTTCGAAAGGTTTTTAAAATCAGGGAGCTTCTCATACACCGTTCACGTTGTCCCCTCTAGAGGGAACTTCTAATAAGGAAGGAGCTTCTAATATGAGAGGGGCTTCTATTACGGAAGGGGCTTTACTACATTACATCTTTGGTAAGTTTCTTGCATCTACCATGGAATCCATTTAAAACATAAGTTATTTTAATGCCTGTATAACACTAGAGGATATTTCAAGATGAAGAACTGAATGTAATTGCTTTGGAACTTTTTCCTGCCTTTTGTATTATTTCGAATACTCAACTTTATATTTTTACAGAATCACTCAAATATGTAAACTATTCTATTGAATGATGTCATCAAATATTTGCTCATGTCTGAAAAAAAATAAACGAGATCTGCAGAAGTTTCTAAAGCTCTATCTTTCACCATAGTGCAGAGTCCAGGGCTGGGCGAGTCCAACTCATGACTCTGACTCGAGTCAACTTGAGTCACTTTAGTTCACTGCTTCAGACTCGACTGTGACTTGGATATTTAGAAACACTGACTCTACAAGTCAAGTCAAGTCATTTTCGAGTCAGTCATTTAAAAAGACTTTGATTCAGTTGCACAAAAACTTGCAATATATAAGATTAAGCTCTCATTGAATCATAACACTTTTTCTAGTTGAATACATTGCATCAAAAGGGTTTTTTTATTTTTCTTCGACCTATGAGTTCATATATCGAATATGACAGTCAAAAGTTACTATTAAATACCTTTATAAAAAGTAATATTCTTTTTATTCTGGAGTTAGTCGCACTGTTATTACTTTTTTGATGAATCTGGAGTAGTTGTATGCATTTATTTTATATTTCGTGTTTCTCATTTTGTTGTCTGGTTTTAAGAATGTTGAAACTGCATTATAGTAAAGTGAGAATTTTTTATGGATCTTCTCAGTAAAAACAAATAAAGACAAATAATATACAAAAAAAAAGTTTCACTAGGCTCGACTCGATGATGTTGGTGACTTGACTTGACTTGACTCGAAATGATTATTAAATGGCTGGGACTCCACTGGACTCGAGAAAAGCCTTGACTCACACAGCCCTGGCAGAGCCCATCAAAAATAGTTATACCGGAGGGAAAGGGGGTTCAAGTTTCTTGCAAAATACCATTTTCTATTATGCAGTACCATTTTTAGAAGGTTCTGAGCTCTGGTAAAATATGAAATCCTTAAAAGCTTTATATGCCTTGTTTATTTTTTAGAGAGCAATATTCTGCAGTAATAATTACAATAACAAAATAAGAGAATTGCTATGATAAGATTTGTACAGCTGCAATGAATATAGCTGTAGGGATAAACGAGATCATATACACGTGGTAACGAACTCTCAATGCATGAGCAGAATAAATGGAAGTACATATGAAAGGAATTACCAAAAATTGAATGAATTCATACAACTGTTGGTGCTTCTGTCAGTTGTGCTGCCATCTAGGGCTATTTGTCGAGAGATAGTCATGCATATATTTTTAAAATTGCAGATAAAGACTTTTCCGAGAGTACGATTTCGCTTGCAAAAACGTCACGGACACGCAAAAAAAAAGATACATACCACTCGCTTTCGGCGAATGGAAACAAATCATTAGAGTGCTAATAATCACTGCTATAGTTATGAAGATGCCAAATGAACCTGCAGCTATTGTCGATTCATGTCGAGACCAACACGGCTCATCACTAAACAGATTATTCAAAAGATTATAAAGAATGCGACGAAACGAAAGAGACATACAAAGTTGTATAAGTGCTTTTTGCCTTATTGATCTTATTATTAGTAAGAGCAACTATGTTTGGTGAGTCAGGTTGCTTTTGTAATAAATTTTTGAAGTTTTGCCCATTTTTGACATGAGGTTCTTGTTCATTAGAAGGACTTGCATTTGAGATGATACCATTACCCGTAGAGTCTTTGTTCATATCTACTAAAATAATTATATTCCATAAACGAGGACTATCTTGAGGGTGGGTGCATGTGTGTGAGAGTGTGGGTGTCGGTGTAGTTGTGGGTGTGTGAGAGTGTGGGTGTCGGTGTAGTTGTGGGTGTGTGAGTGTTGGTATGGATGTGGGTGTGGATGTGTAGAGAGTACAGAAGGACAACATCCATATCCACACCCAAACCCAACACTAGGAAACGGGGCATCAGGACAGTTCTATCATCATATTCTGCTTCAACATATATTCAAGTTTTCTTCTAATATTGGCAGAAAACTTTCGATCAACGTAGAAACTAACTTGGCGAATATTGAAGTGATTACAAATAACAGACGAACTCTGTGAACAATATGAACTTAAGAAATATTGAATGAGGGTCCCGTGTGATGACCTACCGGTTCATACACTTCTTATCGTGTTCTCATATTTTTTCATAGAGTGGTTAGACTGCTTTCAAGTGATACAATAGTAAAGTTACTCACAATGGAGGTGTTTGTGTCGTAAGTTGAAAAGACCAGATATTTTTGCATCAAAAGAAAGCTCTCACCGCCAAACTCACAAGGTTAAAATATTGGTATTTTCCATTTTCGCCGAAAGTGAATTACGCCGAAGAAAATTTTCCTGTTCTTTTTCGCCGATATATATAATATTCGATGAAAAAGAACAGGAAAATTTTCGTCGGCGAAATTCACTTTCGGCGGAAATGGACTAAACCAAAATATAAGCCGCTGTTGGCTTGCCTAGAGGGAGATATTCGATTTTTGCGGTACTCCCGGTTAGGATATATAGGTACATTAGAATTATTTAAGTTAATTTTTTATGCAATCAACTAAGTATTTCAATAGTAGGCTACAAGAATCTTTCTGAAATTTATCAATAGCAGTAGGATTACATTAGTTTCAGTGTCTTCTGGAACTTTTGTACTATCGAAATGAAAACAAAGGAAATTGATATGTTTAAAAAATGATGTGTATATACAATATTTGAAATTAAAGTACATCGATGCGTCACTTGGTGGTCTATTTGACCGCTTCTTTGCGATTGGTGTTAAGAGATCACAATGAAATATGCTATCAAAGAATTATTCTTTTTCATTCTCTGTCGTATCTACCGAACAAAAACGTTTATCTCGTGAAATTAAACCATGAATTTATTCAACATCGCAAACATCTTCATTTCACTCAAAGTGAATATGGATCTGAAAATTTTGCAATAACTACCGATGAAATTTTTGTTGCAGAACTATTATTTCAAGTTCTGAAGTCATTTAAAGATAGCTACTTCAATCAAGAAGAGAGTGACGATGAAATGGATGATTATGATGAAACTGATCATTCTGATCTAAAAATTCGTTTTATATTAGAATAAATGGAAAATATAATCGAATGGGTTGACGAACATCCGAATGCCAGATTTGGGTGTGGGTGTGGGTGTGGGTGTGGGTGTGGGGGTGGGGGTGGGTGGGGGTGGGGCGGGGGGCGTGGGGGTGGGGGGGGGCGAG